AAAAAAAAAAAAAAAAAAAAAAAAAAAAAAAAAAAAAAAAAAGAAGTGTCATATCTTCTAAAGTACCCTCATAGGCCTTTGAGAGTAAAGTGACATTTTGGAGATATTTCAAAGCTATATGTACATTCAAATCAGTTTCTACCTCAGTATCTATTTGGAAGGAGTCTGGTAGAAGATCCACCTCAATTCCCCTCCCCCCTTTCCCTAAACCCACCCCTTCAAAGCCTGCCAAACACAACTTCTCCCTCAGAGAGGCTCAAGACCACTTCCACAGGGTATATAAGGGCATCCCAGAAAAGACACGTGGTTCTTCCCGTCTCTGGCCCCATCTCCTCTCTGAGGGGCCAGGAATCACCCTGAACGCTTTACCCATCAAACCTGGGCTTTTCCAATTTGGTCTGATTTGGTTTGCTGCATTGGTGGAGAGGCCTATCAGGGGGAAAAAGACTTATCAATATCTTATAGAACATGATAGCTCATGCTTGCCTGGAACTCATTATACATTAAATATCCCATGTTGGCCATGAATTAGTAATAATCCTCCAGCCTCAGCTTCCCTAGTGCTGGGATTACAAGTGCAAACCACCATGACTGACTTAGATCTAAACCTAAATGATTAAAAGTGACTTTTTTTTTCTGAGACAGGGTTTCATATACCCAAGAGTGACCTGACACTTTCTGCTTGCTTCTACCTCCTGAGTATCGAGATTATAGGCTGATGCAGTGTTGCAGATCAAACCCAGGACTTCCTGGGTGACAGGCAAGCACTCTACCAATGGAAGGACATCCTTGGTGTGAAACAAGGTACAATTCCACACAAATGATTTAGTGGGTGTTCTAAAAAATGCTCTCATGCTGTGGCATCGTCGAGTGTGTGCTCCCACACAGAAGGAAGCATCTCATTAGGTCATTGTTAATAAAGACACTGTTTCACAAGAAAAGCCATGTCTCAGTGTTTTATTTCTGTGAAAAAACAAAAAACACCATGACCACGGTAACTCTAATAAAGGAAGATATTTAATTGGGGCCGACTTACATCAGGGCAGGAAATAAGGCAGTGTACAGTCAAACATGGTACTAGAGAAGGAGCCATCTTGATCCAGAGGCAACAGGGAGAAAACTGACTTGAGCTTCTGAGACCCCGAAACCCAGACAGTGACACACCTTCAACAAGGCCACACCTAATAGTGCCTCTCCCAGTCTAAGCAGGCCATTGCTATTCAAACCACAAGCCCCCAATGGTGAAACAAGTTCACACACCCCTAAGAATTTAATAAATAAAATTATCAGAAGAGAAAATTATCAAATTCATAGTGATCAGGACCCTAGATGGCAATCAAAATTTTTACATTTGCTTATTCTTCTTTGGGAAAATATCAAATGATGGATGATGTTGGTGCAGCAGGAGGGCATGGAGAACCCTGGGGTCCAGGATTGGGAGGCTTTGGGAGTTGCAGTAGTCACTGTGGCTGTGGTCCAGGCTTGGAGGCTTGTGGAGGTAAAGCTGAAGACAAGGAATGGAAACCCATCACCATGCCGGGCCATCTAGTCAAGGATGTGAAGATCAAGTCAGTTGTGGGATGTTTGGACTGTGTGAAGAGGTGTTGCTGTGATTGGCGTAATAAAGAGCTGAAATGGCCAATAGCTAGGCAGGAAAGAGGCAGGACTTCTGGCAGAGAGGCAGTCAGAGGGATGAACCTAGGGACGTGGGAGACACCAGTGGGATTCGGAACAAGTCCAACATAATGGGCAGGGTAAGGTAACTGAGTCACATGTGATAGAATATAGATTAATAGAAATAGGTTAACTAAGTTATAAGAGCTAGTTAAAAAAAAAAAATTCTAAGCCAAGGCCAGGCTTTCATAATTAATAGTAAGTCTCCATGTCATTATCTGTGGGCTGGCAGTCCCAATGAGAAAGCTTACTAGACAAGTCCTGGGAGACCTACTTGTTCTCCCTGCCCATTAAGGAATTTCAGATTACTGACGTTTTTCCCTGGGCTCATCCCTGATGATGTTCTAAAGATTTCAGTGCAGAAGCAGACTCAGGCTGGCCAGTAGAACAGGTTCAAGGCTTCTGTTAATATTGGGGACTACAATCGTCATGCTGGTCTTGGTGTTAAGTGCTCCAAGAAGGTAGTCACTGCCATCTGAGGGGCCATCATCTTGGCCAAGCCTTCCACTGTCCCTGTGCAGAGAGACTAAGGTGGAACAAGATTTTCAAGGCCCACACTGTTCCACGCAAGGCAATCGGCTGCTGCGGCTCCATGCTGGTGTGTCGCATCCCCGCCCCCACAGGCACTAGCACTGTCTCTGTTCCTGTGCCCAAGAAGCTGCTGCTACTGGCTGGTATTGACTGCCTAACATCAGCCAGGGGCTGCACTGCCACCCTGGGCAACTTTGCCAAGGCCACCTTTGATGCCCTCTCCAAGACCTACCCCCAACCTCTGGAAAGAGACTGTTCATTCACCAAGTCTCCTTATCAGAAGATATTCATTGACCATCTTGTGAAAACCCACACCAGTCTCTGTCCCAAGCTCTAGCTGTGGCTACCACATAAAGGTTTTTATACAAACAAGGAAAAAAACACAGTGAATTAAGTCTGAAAAAAAATTGTTTAGATTCATAGTTTCTCAAATTTCACACATGGATTATACTTTCACAGGGAAAAGTACAACACTGAAAGTTAAATACACACACACACACACATACACACACACTTTTTTTTTTTTTTGAGACAGGTTTCATTGTGTAGCCTTAGCTGTCCTGAACTTGCTCTGTAGACCAGACTGGCCTTGAACTCAGATCCATCTGTCTTTGCCTCCCAAGTGCTGAGATTAAAGGCATGCACCACCACCTGTCTACACACGTTTTTAATGTCTCTTATAGTCATACTAACAGAAAAATAGCAATATATTCTTAGTAATTAAAATTCTTATTTAAGAAAAGCTAAAACATTTACACATTAAACTGAAAACAAAAATAAAAAGCCAATAAAATTCAAAATACCTTTATTTACTGTAACAAATGAACTGATTTGTGCAAATAGAAAAAAAATGTTTTAAAGAAAGAAAACACAAGAATTTGGTTTAATAGCAAACAGCTGTAGCTTCTGATCCTATTCAGTTCTTAAGCTGTTTGAATATATTTTCTTTTTTGGTTTATCAAGACAGGGATTTTTTTTGTATCCCTGGCTGTCCTGGAACTCACTCTGTAGACCAGGCTGGCCTTGAACTCACAGAGACCCACCTGCCTCTGTCTCCCGAGAGCTGGGATAAAAGGGATGTGCCAACCCTGCCCAACCTGAATATATTTTAACAATGTTAAAAAAAAATGCTTATTCTACAATGTATCTTGTCTTTTCTGGCTCTCAGGCCATTAAGTGGAAGTCCTCTAAGAACAACTTTACAAGGTGAGAACCCCCATAGTGATAGAACTCAAACTGCCTTTAATAAAATCTGCAAGAATCATTATTTACTCCAATGGCTTTTCAATTTGAAACAGGAATATTTTTACTATTTATTTGCTATTAGACATAGTGGTAACAAACTTCCGTAAGTTCCTCCACTTAAGAGTACCACAATGTAATGGTACTGTCTCCTGGTACAAAAGAGTACCACAATGTAATGGTACTGTCTCCTGGTACAAAACTTTCCTGTGTAATGCAGACCCTGTGATGTCTAGAGCAGACAGGACATTATGTGTACAACAGCAGCACACCATTTTCCCCATCCTCATAAAATCTACGCTCTATATCAGCTTCATCGGTTTTACTATTCAAGTTAGATTTTAATTTGGAATACTTAACACTGTTGTTGATGTGCATTTCACTTTCCTCATGTTTCCCGAGAATATGTGACAGATGCTGCCAATCTTTGCACCCATTCTCATTTTTCAGTTGATTCTTCCCTTCTCCAAAGAGTCTGCAATACAGACAAAACACTGAGTCTTTGGAGGCTGAGTAGAGAAGCCAGGATCTGGTGGTCTTCTCACCGCTCGGAAGAATCCGTGTGTAGTACGCTTCCGAAAACTTCCTCCCTGTGTTGTCTTTTGGAAAATTGAAATTTCTTAGTTGAGGTGGATCATTTTTGACAAGACTATCACGCTGTTTCATATTCAAAATCCGGGGCCACGAGCCTGGATCTGAAGAGAGTACAGCTGACACAGCGGGGTCTTCCGAGCGTCTGTCTCCCGGTTGCTCTTGCAATGTATCAGGCATGGCTGTCTCAGGAGGCGAGTTCCCATGCTGCTCCTTCCGTGACGCATCTAGGCTACATTCTGCTGCAACTTTTATTACCTCTGAGCTCTTTCCCTTTTTTTCTGGTATTTCTATTTTTTCTGAAAGTGTGCTTGATTCAAGTAATTTTCTTTCATTTTCTTCTCTGGTAGCATTCCTTTTTCTGTTTTGTAAAAGTAATAATTTTGATCTTTTTTCCATTATCTGTCAAGAAATAGAGATTACAATTTTATTGGCATTTTAAAAACTGAAGTAACAGAAATAAAACCAGGCAATGGCTCACTGTTAGCTATCAAAGAAATAAGGCACACCAAGGAATGCACTCAGTGTACATACATACATGAAGCAAAGTACTCATACTCTGACAGTGATTAGATAGTGACACAGGACTTTGGCTAAAGCTCTGGTGGAAAATTTAACAATGTGCACTGAATTGGGAAAGCAGTTTGGCAGTTCATCTGACATTGTAAACATATGATCCATACAGACAAGGTATATAGCTAAGATAAACGTCATGTTCACACAACCATTCAATGAGATCAATTCAAATAACAATAAAAAACTAAGTATAAAGCTGGGCAGTGGTGGCGCACACCTTTAATCCCAGCACTCATGAGGCAGAGGTAGGTGGATCTTGAGTTCAAGGCCAGCATGGTCTACAAAGTGGTTTCCAGGACAGCCAGGGCTACACAGAGAAACCATGTCTCAGAAAACAAACAAACAAACAAACAAACAAAAAAAAAAAAAAAACCAAGAAACCAAGTATAAACTGGTAAAGGCAGTAAACACCTTAAATCTCAGCACTTAGGAGCAGAGGCAGGCAGTTGTCAGCTTGGTTTGGTTCACACAGAATTCCAGGCTAGCCAGAGATACATAGTAAGACTTTTTCTAAACACACAAACAAACAAACAAAAAGAGGGGGCTGAGAAATAGCTCAGCTGTTAAAGAGCACTGGCTGTTCTTCCAGAGGTCCTGAGTTCAATTCCCAGCAACCACATGGTGGCTCACAACCATCTGTAATGAGATCTGGCGCCCTCTTCT